ATCAGCTGAGGATGAGATGATGCTGGGAAGGTAGGAAATAAAGGAACGAAAAAGAAGTCAATAAAGATGGTTCAAGGAAGAAAATTAGTTCATTTTTCACTGGGTTTGCTATAAGTAAGTGTGTGATTCAGCAGATTAATATCAGAAAAGCAAGTACTGCATGAGACGGTAGTTGCTTTTACAACGGTGTAAACTAAGATGATCTGGATATACTTTAAAAAGTTATATGCTTTAAAGCAATGACATTAGAGGGAGTAAAAGAGAGAGGAAGGTCTATCATTCATTACAGGATCTCCCTACATACACAGCATGCATCTGTTTGCCTTTCTGTTCATATGAAACCTATGTCTTTCTGCCTGTCTTTTTGCATTAAATTTGAAATCCCATAAAGTACATATCAGCAGTTGATTTAATCAAACACTATGGGGTCAGGAACACAAACATGTATGTCTAATCCTATGGTGTTAAAAACACCATCTAACCCCCCTGGGACTATTATATTTGGCCCCCTAAATATATTAAAACCTTTTTTCAGTCTGCTGCTTGCTCTGTCCCTGATCTGCCTCCTTGGCTGACATCATCAGAAGTGGTGATCTCAGCCAATCACAATGCTTTATCATAGAAAAGCATTGGATTGGTGGAGATTGTCAAAGAGGCAGATCAGGGACAGAGCAAGAACAAGGCAAACATAGCCCTGGTCAAGCAACATTTCCTTACAAAGATGGATTTAATCAATGCATCTCTATGAGGAAAGTTCAGTGCCTCCATGCAGAGGGTGGAGACGCTGAATGTCAGTGCTGCACATCCTGCAGCACTGCCCCAGTAAGCACCTCTAGTAGCCCTCTGAGGTGTGGCCATCACTAGGCTGTAATGTAAACACTGCCTTTTCTCTCAAAATATAGTGTGTACTGCAAAAAACCTAAAGAGACTGATTATACTCACTAGAACAAACACAATAAGCAGTAGTTGTTCTAGTAACTAAAGTGTCTCTTTAAATACTCCCATTGGTTTCATTATCTTGTTTAAGTACAATTCCATGTGTATTCTATACCAAATTGTTGCCGTCCACTCAATGAAATAAATGAAACAAAAATGAAAAGAAAAAAAAACTATCCAATACTAATATGAAGAAATATAACAGCACAAATGAATACTTCCACATTACTTATACATTTTAATTATTCACATACTAAAGAAGCATATATTAAATGTAACGCATTTGTGAGGCTTTCCCTTTAAGCTCAAAAAGTGGAACTCATGTATCACCATTAATCTGGTAATCTAACATAAATGATCAGCTCTGTAAATAAATTGTAGTGTAGATGGCAAAAACACAGCAAGCACTGTAACCAGATCCTTTTAACTAAAGGACAATTTTCTAGGACTATAGGATAATTTTCTAACCAAGAGAATACAAACTGAAAATAAAATGATGTTATGGTGTCAATGATTTTCTACTAAACATTTTTTCCAAAAATATACAGCAATTTACTAAGCTGTGCAATAAGCTAAAATTATGCTTCAAAATTACTGAGAAATCAATGAGATGAATGCTTTTAAAATGGCCTTTCCCATCTTGATTACTCAATCTGCACTGTAAGCAGTGGGGTTGGAGAGTGAAGAGGGAATTTTTAAATATTGTTTTTTTTTGGTGCCAGTTTTGTCTGTGAATTGGGATTTTTTTATTTTAACAAGATACTTAGTTTTATTACATAAAATGGGCGATTTTTTACTTAAAGAAAGAAAACTAAAAACATTAGATAATTAATCGACACAGACAGACAGGTAAGTATCAGTTTATATTTACAGAGGTTTTATTTATGTTTTTTTTTTATATATATATATATTTGGGCTCTCTCCACTATTAGTGTGAAGAGAGTAGGTAGAGTCATAACTTGGGATGCAACTATAGGCATGAGCCTTTACACATGGTTGTAATGGATATATAAAGGGTTAATCCTTAATAGGTTTAATGTTATAGGGCCAAGGAGACCCGTGCTCTCAACCTTACTGCTCCTTGGGTAAAGAAAGACGATGGGCCAATCACTGGACAGCTCCTGTTTTTTTATGTATCTTTTGGTAGGATGTTTTATATTATTATTTTTGTATGTATTTTAGTAACATTATTATTTAGTATTTTATTATGTATTTTTCTTATACAGAGATTATGAAATGCTTGACTTATAATTTTATGCTCGGCATGTACGATTTTATTTTACATTCACTTTCAGTGCCAGCAAGGAAATAGTATTTTTAGCATAAAAAAAGAAGTGGTGCCACAAAAAAATGGAGTTTCCAACTAGTAAATTAACTCATTGCATTGCTGTTTAAGAATGATTTAATATGCCGTTATCTGCAGCGTGGATTAAAATCTCTCCTACCTTTCTACTTCAGAAACAGTGAATTTCCTGTTCTGTTTTTGGTTGCTAGATCTTTCCAGTTTTCTGTACTGCCTGAGATTGATTGATGAGGAAAGATAAAATAAAGAAATACAATAATAGTAGAATGAGAAAGCATATACACAATGTATAGCATTTTATGAAGAGGAATTTAATAAAAATGATTGCACACAAATAGACAGGCACTTATTGAAATCAACATAACTAACAATTTCAACAATATAATAGAACATGATTTAAAACATAAAACATGTATATAAATATAATTGTATCATATATAAAGTTAGAGCTAAGCAATTGATTGTATAATTTTGTAATACAGCATCTTTGGCACATAGCACCTCTTTTCTAAAATAAATAAATGAAAACTTCAAACTATATAAATAAAAACTGCAAAATATTATCATTTGTTTCACAATGAACTTGGTTTTAAGTACACTAATTCCCTTTTGGAAGATTGAAACTCTTAAAAGCGTACATCTAGTAATAATTCAAATCACAAGATACATATATGTATACATTTGAAATATTACATGCAAGTATCCATTTATACACATAAATGTACATTTTTGTAACCTTATCAAATGTGTGATAAGCTGGAGAATTAAATATAAAGAAAGTATACTCCTTGTGCATTTGTATAAAAGTGTACAGTCTCCTTCTTTTGTGTTTTATTTAATAAATAAAATAGAATTCATTAGTTTATTTGTTTTTATAAATTTTTAACAACTAAATAATTGTATTTATATATGATGTCCTTTTGGCATTTCCTCCAACACTATCCATATAAATAGCTTTGTGGGGTTATGCATCATTATGTAAGTCAAGGCATAATAAAACTGAAGTGAGACATGAGGTTTCATTTATGTGATACAAAGGAACAGCACTAGCCCATCAAGATGGAACATGAAGTGTGGACAGGAAAGATAGGAGTAAAGCCACATGGTAATAGAGTTGTTTTAGATAAAGAACTGTCAGTAAATTCACATGTAAGGATATCTGAAACATTGAATAGAAGTTGTAGCTTGTGGGATAGAAGGAACTCGAACTTTAGGCAGCAGTACGATGGTGTAAAGAATAGAACCAACAAACATAAAGAGGGGTGAACAAAGAAATTGTGGGCAGGGATGATAAGAGGCAGAAGAGAGACCCGAGTGAAATGAAAAAAGAGGTGGTGGAGAATGGAAATTGTATAACTATTTTGTTGTAGAAACTATGGTGCAAATAGTATTTGGAATGTGAGATCCCTGGTTTCTGTAAAAAATAGGGTTTTCCTGCATTCAAAATTATAGAACCAATGTTGTTGTTCAGATAATAAGAAAGCAAACTTCCAAGTTGGCCCACCCAGCTCCGGGCAACAAAAATATACTGAGAGTTCTAGGATAACCCCTAACCTAGTGCACTCAGCCTACCAATGGTTGGACAGGCTAATACAGTTGTTAAATTCTGGATTTGCTCAGCCATAACATAGGGTTCAGATCTGATGCTAAAAGGTACCCAGTTATTCGAACTGTTAAAATTTTTTATAGAAAAACCCAAGGAATTGGCACCCAAATAATATTTTTATCTCAGCCGTTACAGTAAGTTATAGAAGATATGATGCTTATAGGGTTCCTTTAAAATGTAACATTATCAATTGAGGTGATTTATGGAAATGCAATCTAATAATACAGGAAGCATAAGATTATTCAAAAAAACATATTCATTTGTAGATTTTTACTGAAAGATATTTTAATATTGGTTATTAAAAATAGTCAGTACTCTAGTAGAGTCAGTTTTTCTCTTCTTTAATTTTAGCAAATTTCTTTACTAGGTAGCATATTATCAATATCAACCTCCTCATCAGTATTTATAAATACAGGTTCTCTTGGATTTTTATGGTAACTACAAAATGTAACCTTAAAGTGCACAAGTCAATTACAAATGACATGGTGACAATTCCTGTGAAAATATTGAATCTTTACATACTCTGCACACTTTAAGTATTGTTTCAATTTTTTCCGCTCAATGTATAATTCTCATTTAGTCATGCAAAAAAAAAAAATAGTATTTGATAAGTATTTAATTCATCCCACAATACAGTTGAATGCTAAGTACTGCATGGTACGTGAATTATTATCCGAAGGTAGACATTTTATGTACAAGTTTAGTGCATGATATACATAAGCAACCAGACCACTTCAGCTCATTGTGAAACCTGTAATTTGTGCATGCCTATCAGGCAGACTTTGGTCTAAGATGGTGAAAATGTGAAAGAAGACCTGGCAGGAGTAACATGATGGAAAAAAGTTGTCCTGGGGCTAAAAAAGGTTGTGCAGCAGTGTTGGGGAGGACTAGACGAAGGGATCCATAGGATGGGGCTACTGGGGCAAGCCAAGCTACTGTTTTATATAGGCAGAAGAGAGATCCGAGTGTATACTGTTTTATATAAATATATATATATATATATATATATATATATCTATATACATGTATATATATAGATATATATAGATATATATATATATATATATATAAAACAGTAGCTTGGCTTAGCCCCGTAGCCCCATTTTATGATCCCTTCGTCTAGTCCTCCCCAACACTACTGCACAACCTTTTTTGGCCCCAGGACAACTTTTTTCCATCTCTCTTTCTCTCTCTCTCTCTCTCTCTCTATATATATATATATATATAGAGAGAGAGAGAGAGAGAGAGAGAGAGAGAGAGAAAGCACTCTGTAATGGATTATCTGCTTAACATTGCACTGGGCAAGGATTTTGATAAGTCCTCAAGTGCAAGATCATTTGTGTATGTGTATTTATAATTAGTGGTAGGGTAGTGGTAGAGCTTTTGTTAGGGTAAATGTAATATCTAGAGTTTCATACAAGGGCCAGTGTTAGGGTACCAGGAATAAAGCATGGCTGATGTCACTACTTGTGGCTGTTAATGTGCCCAAAAATGTATAATCATATATCATAATAATATACATTTATATATTTTCTTTATGAAATGTGAAAATTTGAATGCCTGACCCATTTTCTTACATAACTACATTTTAAAAGGTGAATTGAACAGTGTGTATTGTATGTTGAAATGCAACATAAACTACTTGATATTCTCCCAAGGAAAAAAATGTTTATATATTTAAAATTTGTTATTGCTTTCTACATTTACAACTCATTTCTGTTTTTCCTGGCCTGGTTTGTAACTTCTAGTTTTTTTTCTTATTTACACAAGGTTTTGGGAAACCTTTGTGAAACTTACTGCTGCCTCTTACTTCTTTTCTTATTAAAGTGAGTGCTTTAATTTTTGTTTTTCAGTTTTTCTTTATATGTGTTAATTGTTACAAGTATATCTCAGGAAACTATGCAAGAAAATGTCCTTAGTTCTTTCATGGAAGGTAAAGTACAAGGACTATCATAATATAATGGATAATTTGCCTATCCCTTCGTCCTGATGGGATTAAATGGCTGAGGAACTGAGGTCTAAACACCATAAACACCACAGCTTAAAACAGTTGTTATTAAGTTAGGAAGCTATGGTTGTAGTACCCCAGTTTGCTTTTGACTGAAAAAAACACTGCAACTAAAGCCAACTCCTCAGCTTGAATTATTATAATGAGAAAATCTCACTTCCTAAATATCTGTTCACGTTATTGAATGGTTTAACTGTGCACTGCACACCTCATAAAGCGCTACAATATAAGATATTTGCCAAATCTCTAAAGTACTTTTCACATTGTAAAATCACTGCTGGGTTCTTGTACATAGCTTGTTTAAGCTCTACGAATTGGACTGATAAGGAAATTAGTCAAATTTTGAATTAAAATTGTGCCAAATCAATTGAAAAAGGTTTGGCATCAAAAAACAAGGGACTGCAACCAAAAGCACCTAAAACCATAATAACTAATATTAACTGCAGTGTTATAGTGTTAGAGTGTCCCTTAAAGGAATATTCTGGGCAGCAAAGCAACTTTGCATTTATAGGTTTGGGGTTCATTAAAATGCTGAATTTTTACAAATCTTTGTTCTTTTTGAAAATAAAACAAACATGTTTTGCAGAATGCTGCTGCAACCATAAGCCTTCCCCTTATTCCTCCTCCCTGCCCTCCATCTCAGAAAAATAATTCCTTATTAGTGTATGTACACAGGTCAAACACTGATAGAACTGAGTGAGATGAACTGCTACAAGCAAAGAAGCCTGTATTAGAAGGAGAGGACACCTACGTGAAGTCTGTCTTGGCACATAAGAATATATAAAGATATCTTAATAAAGCTTACACAATTCAAAACAAGGAAGTAAAGATGAAACATTCAGGCGTTATTTTTATAGTTGTCTTAGTTGATATATGACCATATAGGTAACACTGTACGTGACTAATATTTAAACCTTGGAACAACGTTATTGTTATCTTATATGTTTTCTCAGTTACAGGTATTTATTTATAATTATTCAAAATGGGATGGCAGGGAAGAATTTTAAATGGCAAAATTTCATTTTCAATTGCAAAATTTAGAAATAATTTATTTTGATTCTGCAGCTTATGAGTCATCTGTCTAAATTTCCACAAACAAACCAGGACTCTAGTTTTTGTTTTTATGTTTGACTATTAAAAATAAGTGAGCTTTTTAGGCAATGGTACGAAAAGCATTTATGAAGTACAAAAACACAGCATGACAAATAAAAACACAAACAAAAAGCAAATCTTAGAAGCTTAACCACTAAATAACACGCAACGGCTCAACATGACAAAATAAATTCACCAGCACACATGATAAGAATGAATAAGTCTGTTTTATACCTTTCTCGTTCTGGTGAATGCAAACTAGTATCTGGTCTCAAGCAGTTGGTACTAGCACTTCTAGCCCTGTCAAGGGAGGGCTCTAGTTCACTAGTGCCAGTGCATTGCATCCAGTGGTAGAAGAGAAAGAAGAATAGAAAAGAAAAACAAAGAAAGGGATACAATGTTAGATAAAATCATAAAAAAGCAATGTTTGTTTGCATAAGATGTAAAAGTATCATGACTTAAAAAAAAAGAAAAATAATAAACAGAAAATAAGTTCATGTTTGGCTGGAAAATGGTCACATGTCATCCTGAAAATGAGCATAGTAAATTAAGATATGGATCTCCACATACAATAAGAGTTAGACTTTTCATGGGAACTGATAAACTAATTCCAACAAGAAACTAATGCCCCCAAAAAAGTTAGGCTTAGTTTATGTCACTATTTTTTTTTTTTTATGACCTCTTTATATTTGAGACAGATCTGGAACACTGGAGACAATTTTTTTTCATCTCCAAGTTTATATTTTGAAACCGGCAATACAGTGGGTTTTTATTTTTCCAATTGAGTAATGCCTTCAGGGATATGAAAAGTGGGTACAATGTGCCTTTTTATGTTTATTCAAAAGTGCTACATTGGTATTTACTCCCTTATTATGAGCTGACCCACTTTTTCTTACTCCTCAATCTGAAACCTCCAGGATATACTAGCTTTCCACAAAGAGTTATAGCACATGGACAGATGTTCGGACATGAAAATCCAATGATGTAATGGGAGTTTTAAAGAAAGTGATTTATTAAGTAAGGTCCATATTATGTGTGTATTTAAGAAAATTTCTGACAATCAAAATATCATAATCAAAGTTACCGTATTTTCTCGAATCTAATGCACCATCGAATCTAACGCACACCTCAATTTTTGACATCCTGAAGCTGAAAAATGTTTTTGCTGACAAATGTAATGCGCATTTATTCAAGTAGATACTACTATACAACATTATGCTACAATGAAAATGGTTATTCCCATATACCACAGTAACATTGATGGTATTTCAATTTTAGTGTTACATGTTAAGTCTATTCTTTCTTAAGCCTCTTTCAGGAATGAAATTTGCCTGTATGAATTCAACTGTTTGAATTTGTGTGTTTCAGATCGTGTGTTTGAATTCACCAGTTTTAATTCACTGGTTTGAATTCACTAGTTTGAATTCAGCAGTTTTAATTTGCCATAATGTAATTTGCTGGAAATTTTTTTAATTTTGCCCCGAATGCAATGCGCCATTGAATTTAATGCGCATTCAAGTTTTGAAACTTTATTTGCCCCAAAAGGTGCACATTAGATTTGAATAAATACACTATTTACTAAAGTGTGACTTTTTGAGAATTCAGATTTAAAATTGGGACCAAAGTAGTCATACTAAAAATATAGATGACTTGTACAATATTTTGAATTGTTCACTTCTGTCACAGCTTGCTGTAATGTGAATAGACTGGAATAGAATAAAAGGGATGTTTTTTCACACAGATAACATTTAATGGAAAATTGACACAGTGAGTAATGTAATAATGTGAATCCAATTTTAAGTGGAAAAATAGCATGACAGCATGACATATATCTTGATAAAATAAGTCAGCGGTAGAGCAATTATGCACAAATACGTTGGGGACACTAAATCCATACAAAAACAGAGTAATTCTAAAACAAAGCATAGTATATTTATAAAAGCAAAAAAAGATGTTTTAACTTGTGAATATAATAACCATGTTCTGTATATGCCATTGACACTGCCAGAATGATTGGTTACAAGTCGAGATAATACCAAAAAGCAAGTAAAAAATGTTGAAAATAATTCTAACAAACCAACAAAAAAATAAATGAACTGTCTCAAAACTAGTAAATACAGACAGTTAGTTGTACTTGCATCTAAAGTAAAGCCTAAATGTGGGTTAGTTTTCTTTGGCAGTGTTCATTCTGCTTATCATCATATATATTTTCCTTAGTGAATGAAGAATCATTTAATTTGCCTAAAATAATCTAGTTCACTTTGCCAAAACACTGTTTTTCGGAGAGAGTTGAAGTACTTTATCTTAACAATACACTTTGACATATGACATATTTCGTGATCATGTTACCTTTTAAATGTAACTAGTGCATTTCTCCCATGGGGCAGACTATACCAAATACACTCAATTACAGTTTAAAATCAACTCAAATACACACACTGTAAGTACAGGGCTCTTTAACCTATTGACTATATTTGCATATAAATAAGAAATAGAACACAGGACCAAAGTAAGAACATGCAGTTCTGTATCACTGAAACCTGTGCTGAAATAACACTTCATTTGTTTAATTGTAAATGATCTAGTCCTATATGTATAGTGTAAAGTATGGTTATTTTACACTGCAGACTAAGTCTTATTTTGAGTTGAAGAGCCCTGCCCCAATACACATGCATACAATAAACAATCAAAAACTTGGAAAGAAAACAAAGGTAAGAATATTGATAAGAAAAACAAACACCAAAATACTCTACACATACACTACATACTCAAAAAGCAACAATGCTGAAATAATATTTTAATACATTAAGCACACTGTAACAGGGTTGTTTCATCTCTTTAGTATGCGTTGACTGATACAAGGATCACATAACTAGCAACTTAGACTTCACAACACAATTCTTACCTGTAGAGTTTCCAATGAGAACCAAACTCTAGTAAAGGCATCTTGGGTGGCAAAGTTTTACTGTGCCTAACAGTATTTCTTGTGTTTTGTAGAACACAAGAGGACACAAAGAAAGAATGCAATAACACTTCAGCAACATAGGGTACAAAGTTACATGTTTAACACGTTGTATTTCCTTAATGTGGTCATTTGTCTGTTTGTGTAAAGCAACATTTGAGGATTGGGTGCCCTGGTATGGCACATTTGGTAACAGTGGTGGCTAATTTATTCAT